CTTACCTAGGCTTACGGCATAGATCATTTTGGGTAAGAGGTTTGGGTAAGTTAAACAACCACAGTGGTACAAACAGGACATCCTCACACACTGAATGTCACGCTTTGACCAAGTTGTAGGTTATGTGCCGTAGTGAAATGAACATAAGCCTAATCAATTAAGATTTTAATCAGATACCAGCTGTCAAAATGTCCACAACACAGAAACAGATAAGAATGCTTACATACTATGTGGAGATGACAGTGGATAAAGATTTAAAATGCTTAAATGACCTGATAAAGACATGGGAGATGTAGCCACCAGAACTCACAGCATTAGCAAACAATCTAAGAGCCTCCAGTGAACATTTTGCTGTAAGTGACGTTTACCTCAGGTGACAGGACTAGAGAAACTGATGTGGATGATAATGTGTGCTGATATTCAAAGTGATTACACATTTCCCATTGTAAGTGTATAGTTCATTGATAAAGTGTTTAGCATATTTACATTATAATTGCACTTAATGCTGGATGATTTTCACGATTTATTTGGTTAATTTGAATTACTGTTTTAACACGATTTTCAAATGTGATAATTGAGATTGTACATGTTTACATATCACAAATTTTATTTTAAATTAAAATGATTTTCAAATAATATGAATGAAAAACTCAGCCTTCATAACTTGATAAATGCAGTCTCCCACAGATCTTTGCTCCACCCTCAAGCAGTCACACATGTAGACAAAAAAAGGAAAAAAAAACAACAAAACACCAAGATGGAGACAGGCAGCACTTCGCAGCGTAATGAGCTTGTATCAAAGAAAGGTGGAAACATCACTTCAGTGATATGGAACTGGTATGAATTTGAAAAGTCAACATGAACAAATTCATGTAAAGTGTAAATTGCGTCTAAGGTCAGTTGCAACTAAAAGTAGCAGCACAACAAATTTATTCCAGCATTTATGACACAAACACCCGGTGGAATGGGAACAATGTGTGAAACAAAGGGATGAAAATACAAGCTGTCCTCCTACACCCAAAGCTGTCGCTAAAAAACAACTAACATTAGCTGCATCATTTTCGAGTGCTGTGATATATGACAAAAAGAGCCCTCAGTGGAAAGAAATTACTGTTGCATTTCATATTCCGAAAGACATGGTTCCCGTTTAGTCTGTCGAGAAAGAAGGGTCCGTTAAGTTGCTGCAAACAGATGATCCCAGGTATGAGCTGCCTAGCTGCAAACACTTTGCTGATATAGCATTGCCGTGTCTGTATACTGCTACATGTGAAAAAGAAGCGAATAAGTTGGAGAGAGCACTGATTTATGCTACCATGACAGACCTTTGGAGCAGCCGTACTGTTCAGACCTACATGAGTCTAACAGTTCACTACATCAACGAAGACTGGACATTGCAAAGTGTTTGCCTCCAGACATGCTACTTCCCTGATGACCACACTGGCGAAGTAATAATCCAAGGGCTTAAAGACAGCTTGGCATCTTGGAAGCTTAGGAAAAACAGACAAGTCTGCATGACTACTGACAGTGGAAGTAACATGATCAAAGCTTTGAAGCTGAACGAGTGGAGTCATCTCCAGTGCTTCGGACAGAGACTCCATAGTGCCATTAGTAAGTTATAGTTCATTTATGTATTATTTTCTAATGTTGAATTTCACAGAAAAAAAAAAGATTTGAATTGGAATTTATTTCAACTATTTAAATATAAAACAGCTTCAGTAATTGTGTGTGTGTGTGTGTGAGAGAGAGAGAGAGAGGAAGAGAGAGAGAGAGAGCTCTTTTTGGTGTTTTTCATATGCATTAGCAAAGTAATGTTTAGTTGATTTTTTGTCCAAAAAAAGTTGTTTGAAAATGATACTGTTATGAAGTATGAATATAATCTCTGTTACATTAAACTGTTTTTTTTTTCCTTTTTTAACAGAAAATGGTGTGAAAGATCCACGAGTTGACCATGCATTTGGGGAGTCCAAGAAAGTTGTGAGTGCCTTTTCCTTCAGCTGGAAGAGAAGAAGAGATTTGGTTTCAGCTCAGGCTGAGCTTGGCCTACCCACTCATCAGCTCATTACTGAGTCCATGACCAGGTGGGATTCCAGACAAAAATGATACACAGGGTTTTGGAGCAGGAGAAAGCCATAGCCTGGGTTCTGGGTTCAGATAAGACGTCTCGGCAGCTAGTACCTACGTGGCAAGACATAGATGTCTTAGAGTCTTAGAGTCAGTGAATAAACCTGTAAGTCCACTACAAGAGTTCACTGATGCATTGTCAGGTGTAGAGTATGTGAGTGTGTCCTACCTCAAACCTGTGCTCCATCTCTCAACAGCATTCTACAATCAAAGGAGGATTAAACTAAGCTCACAAAACACACCAAATGCCCCACACTTCAGTATCTCAACAGTAAATACAGTGACACGGCCACAGATGAACTCTTGTCTATTGCCTCTCTCATGGATCCCTGATTCCAGACATCTTACACAAAACAAGAAAAGGTGGAGGGAATCAAACAGCGAGCGCTTACAGAGTTGATATCTCTCCTAACTGACAAAAATACAAATCAGCCTGACACAACTGTTAAGATACAAGCAGCAAGCAAGCAACCATGCAACCAACAAGATGAAGCTGAAGTTGTGCCTAAGAAGAAGAAATCATTAGCAAGCTTTGTGAAGAAGACTGTGCCATCACCATCTACTCCCCAGTCACAAGAGGACAAAATCAAAGCTGAGCTGACAGTTTACTTGATGTCCCCTGACACAGACCCTGATACAGACCCACTTCTTTGGTGGAAACTGGACGAAACAGACTTCCCCAAACTAAGCAACCTTGCAAAGAAACTCCTCTGTATACCTGCAACCAGTGCCTCTTTCTGAGCAGGTTTTCAGTGCGGCTGGGAACATTGTTACCCATCAGAGGGCATCCCTCAAGCCTGAAACGCTAGATAGGCTTGTGTTTCTTTCAAGAAACCTGTACAGAACGGCCTTATGTGACTGGTTTTCATATTTTGCACTTTTCCTTAACTGAATTGTAAGGAGGTCCTTGTTCAAAGTTCTCCTTCTTGAAAGTGAGAGTTGCTTGCTAGTCTTGAAAGGATACAGCTAAGGAAAAGTTTTGTTGTGCTTGCACAACCCTTGCTTGCAAAGTCTCTTGAAAGGATATTAAAAAGAAACCATTGTTCGTACTATTTGATTGCTATAGAGGTGCTGTTTGTTATTATTTTTGCACATCTACAAATCCATTCTAATAAAAAAAAAAACAGTTTGAATTAAATTGTCCTTTTTCAGTTTCATTATGTAAGAAACTAAAAAAAAATTAAATCGTAATTGAGAATTGTAAATTTGAAAAAAAATATTGAGATTTTATTTTTTTGCAGTATCGCCCAGCCCTAATTACACTATATGGTCAAAAGTTTGTGGACACCTGGTCATCACACCAATATGTGCTTTTTGAACATCCCATACCAGATTTAGTCTCCCCCGTTATAATAGCCTCCATTCTTCTGGGAAGGTTTTCCACTAGATTTTGGAGTGTGGCTGTGGGGATTTGTACCCATTCAGCCACAAGAGTATTAGTGAGGTCAGGCAGTGATGTTGAGTGAGGAGGCCTGGGATGCAGTCAATGTTCCCATTCATCTCAAAGGCGTTCAATGGGGTTAAGGTCAGGGCTCTGCACAGGGGCATTGTCATGCTGGAACAGGTTTTGGGGTCCTTAGTTCCAGTGAAGGGAAATTGTAATGCTACAGCATACAGAGACATCCTATACAATTATGTGCTTTCAACTTTGTAGCAACAGTTTAGGGAAGACTCGCATATGGGTGTGATGGTCAGGTGTCCACATACTTTTGGCCATATAGTGTATAATAATTACAAAATATTAGCTATAATGTGTATATCTTATGTATTGCATATTCATTTAACTGTAATAAATAGTAGTTGCTTTTAGACAATCAGTGTGTTAGTGTGTCTCATTAGAATTGGAGTGGAATCTTTTGGACTGATTTTTCCCCCCTTTAACTGCAAATATTTTGTTTTTCACTTTTTTTTTGGATAGCGAGATTGAAAATGCTGGTTGAGATACATGCAAAACACAAACTTATTTCTGTTCAGGAAAACCCATAGTTTTCAGCACTAGAAAATGACAAAATTTGACTATGTGAAGGGTCAAACATTTATATGATAGTATATGTAGTATAGTAGTATAGAAATGGCATAGTTTAAAGAGATCAGTTAAGTTTATTCATTCATCTTCCTTAACTGCATTATCCTGGTCAGGGTTGTGGTGAATCCTAAACCTATCCTGGGAACAATAGACGCGAGGTAGGAACACACATTGGATGGGACACCAGTCCATTGCAGGGCACCACACACACACACACACATACACACCCATATGAAAAATTTAGAGAAGTCAATCCACCTACTAGCATGTTTTTTTTTTAGGACGAAAATTAAGAACCCAGAGGAAACCTGTGTGGACAACATGGGAAACTTTGCACAGACAGTAATCCGAGCTCAAGATCGATCCATGGACCACATAGCTGTGAGGTGGCAATGCTATGCTCTGCACCACCATACCATATGATCAGTTAACTTTAGTCTGTTTAACAATAAGTTCAAATTAACAATAAGGTAATGTCTACCCCTGGGCTCCTGATTTATAACAGTTTAGAAGTTTACTTCTGATGCTGTGTTAATCTGACGTCACTTGCTGAGCTCAGAGTTGAGGAGAACTTCCAGAGTTTCGTAGTAGGCATTTTCTTTATTTTGAGGTTGGAAAAATTACAAAATTATGGACGTTATAACCTTTAGTCGAATGCAGCATTACTTTTTCAGAAGAGGAAGTGTAGCTTGATAAAGTTTAAATGTTTATTACACCTCACACAATAAGCGGTATGATGAATAGCCTACTTTATTATGTGGTCTGTTGAATGTATTGTTCGATATGTGGATGTATCGAATCATGAGCTTTCAAACAAAACGATTTAATACAGTATTGTTACAGCCCTACTAGGTCACTGGCGGACTAGTGGTTAGACAATGGTGCTCTCACTGCCACGGCCCAGGTTCGATTCCCGGCCAGGGAACCAACCCCAGCCACAAAACAGTGCACTCCCAATGCCGGTCCCAAGCCGGGAAGGTTACGTCAGGAAGGGCATCTGGCATAAAAACTGTGCCAAATCAAAATATGCGGACCAGTGATTCAAGGTGGTGACCCCTAACAGAAGCAGCCAAAAGAAGAAGAACAACATTGTTACAGCCCTACTACTTTTACCTGAAGAGAGATCTGGCAACAGTGCATGGCAAACCAAACACAGCAGTCTCAGGTCAGCGAGTCAGGCGAGGATCAGTAATCCGGCTATTTGGCTTGTACATGAGGTTAGAGAAGAATTTAAATGAGAAAGGCTTAATGAATAGTTATTTTGCCACATTAAATTTCTGATTTAGTTTACATCCATAACACTGATATTATTAACATTAGATTAGTAATATCAATAGGTCATTCAAACAATATCTGTATTTTTTTAATGATTTAAATTATATTGTATTGTATTTTTTTAATGGTATTAATAGATGTGAATGAACTCTAGGTAACTATGGTCATATTTTTTGCAGAATAAGTCTCTACTTTGACACCTTTTCACTTTTGGCTCCCCAACAAAGACTATTTTTTAAAAGTTTAGGTCCAGAGAGCATGTTTATCTCTTTAGGATGAATAAAAGCTCTACAGAAACACTTGTTTTCTCACAACTTCCATATTAACCTTCTGAGCAGAAACTGAGGGTCAAAGAAAACCACTTTCCAGAGACCTGCTAATAAAGATAAGTTAACATTACAATGAGCAGAGGACACCTGCCGATGTCTGAACACAAAAACAAAGGTTCACACACACACACAAACACACACACACACCATTCTGTCCTGAAACATACCGATTCGGAGGACCTGGTGCTCACTGAGGCACAACTTGAGCAGGACGAAGAAGAGCGAGAGCAGCAGCCTGGCTCGTTCCTCCATGACTCCGGGATGGAAACTGACCTGGTAGCGTCTAGTGAAGACGCCGTCGACTCAAATTCACTCGCATATCCGCTTCCCCGCTCTTTCCCCCGCTTCCATTCATATAGGACCTCAGTGACAACTGACAACACGAAGCCCTGTTTTCCGACTCGAACGTCAAAACTAGGACATTTTTTGTTTTGCCTGCTGTCTGTTTGCTGAGCTTAGTTTCCAAATCTCAGCTGTCAGTTCTACATTAACAACACCTGTGCTGAAGCGCGCGTGCATCGTGCAGCGTTCACAAGACCATGTTCAAACATGTTTAAAGCCAGTGTGGGTCCATGAAGCACAGACTTTATACACACACACACACACACACACACACACACACACATATATATATATATATATATGGAGAGAGAGAGAGAGAGAGACAAAAGCAAAACGGTGTCAAAGTAGAGACTTATTCTGTAAAAAAAAAAAAAGACCATAGTTACCTAGAGTTCATTCACACCCATTAATACCATTAAAAATACAATACAATATCATTTAAATCATTAAAAAATACAGATATTGTTTGAATGACCTATTGATATTACTGATCTAATATTAATAATATCAGTGTTATCTATGTGTGTGGAAATATATATATATATATATATGTATATATATATGTATATATACTTTATATACTTTATATACACTATACACACACACACACACATATATACACACACAAATATGTATATATTATTTATATTTTAAACATGAATGCATGTTTTATTGTGGTTTTGCTCTTGTTGTGTTAGATGGATTTATATATTTAATATACTGTGCATGCTTTTTATGTCTGTGCTTCTGGTTTGCATGTTTCAGTTAATGTTTTGAATGGTGTTTTTTTTCATGGTTATAACCTAATTTTAATAATTTTGTAATTTCAGTTCTATATTTTGGTTTTAGGGTGACTCTGTAACATTCTGTCCAGGGACTACAGATGAAAAAAAACAGCCTTTGTCTAACTCTGGAGCATTTACAGTAATCTTTATTAATGTATTAATGTGCACTGTCCCTGTTAAATAAGGCAATAAATAAACAAATAAAATATTATAACTTTATATTATTGTATAGCTATGTTATATTTGTGGAAAACTCAACCCACAGTTATCAAGGCTATTATATTTATCATTAAAGGTTTTTATAGTTCACTACATTACAGCTGTGACATTCGTATAAAAGCTATATAGAAGAATGACAAAACCTTCTTGACTTAGCTTTGACAGTTTGACTGGTCACTTGAAGTGAAAGGCTTTAATCCTAAAACTCAACAACTCAAAAACAACCGGGCCTAAAATTAACGTAAACAATCTAATAATACAATAGTTTTGATAAAAATGTGTTCTGAGAGTGGAAATCTCATCCTCCAAAGTTTGAGAAGCCCTGGCTTAAACACATGCTGAGACTTTTTTTGGACAGATTGTGAAAACACAGCATGCTCTGGGGTACAACTGTAAAATTAGTATTGATATATTTTCACATTGGAAAGACAAAAAAAGCTGATCAGATAAGATCAGATCTGAAAAAAAAAAAAAGCTGAGCCATAAATCATGTAAAAAGACTGGCATGAAATTTGATCATAATAATTATTAGCAATAATATTGTGATATTGTATACTAAGTAAGTGTGTGTATACTACTACTGCTACTAGTTATTGTTGTTGTTGTTTTGTTGTTTTGTTATCAATGCTGTTGTTGTTAATAGATTATCAGCATTCATAAGCTGTTAATATGATTTTTTTTTTTTTTTTAAATATGAACACTAAATCATAGCATTAGCTGAATGACAAACAATTAAATTAGACAGCTATTTTAATTTCATCTAGCTTGGGTCCTCATTTTTGATGTTTTGGCTGAAATTTCTGAGAGGACTTAATCTGCAGAGTGACAACTAACTACTAGAAGATATCAAGATGAGCTAAATGGACCACTTTTTACTGTGGGGTGGAGAATGGCGCCATCTAGTGAATATTTACAATATGGACATATTTCTTGTATAAATATGAACTTCTCTAAAACTGGCACACCTGATAAACCTGATTTTACTCATCAGTCTATTATCATTTTTAGTAAGGGTGTGTGAACAGGGTAACTACCTAATTGAACTAAAGCGTGATTAGAAAAGCCAGACAATGTGCTAGACCCTCCTGCACCATCCTACATGCCCTAACATCAGAACTGGTAATCATCAACCCAAACTTCAGCCCCTTGCTTGTCCTGCAGATGGATGCATCAGAGACTAGACTGGGGCTGTGCTGACTCAGCTGGCCACTCATCCAGTAAACTGTGTGGGGAAAAGACATGTCACTTGATGTTTGTTGGCTATAAAGTACTACTCCTGTCAGTTCAAGCACATTTATTTATATCAGTTATGGTTTCTGTAGTACTTTGTTAAGTTGCAGGAGTAAAACTCATTACCAAATTTTATTATATTCATAAGCAGCAGAGGTACAATTAATTAATTCTGATTGGAGCATTCACCATGAACTGAACTGAAATTTAATGAACCACAGGAAGAGCTATTCGAATTGTTTCAAGTACCCTTCAGGGTACAAGGGTTCAGAATCAATGTTTAACTGACTTTCATGTTTCTACCATCACAAGTTGTCCTTTTTATCTACATTTTAAATAAATTGTTTTAGTTCTCTATAACTCAGGGCCATTTTGCTGAGGCTGCCTGTCATCCATAAGCAGACCCACAGCATTCATTAATATTCAGTTATTGACACACGTAGATTACAAAATACAGCTGCTACTTCCTGACCATCCATGAACATTTCAACACACCACTTATGAACACCTCACACACAACTATGAAAAAGAAGTTGTTAACTGTGTTTTAACTGAAGTTTTAAAAGAAAGAATTTTCACTGTATATAGTTGCAGCCATCAGCCTATCACAGTACTGAAACTAAAATCTAAACTTGATGTTGAATAGATCAATTATCTATCTATCTATCTATCTATCTATCTATCTATCTATCTATTCTTTCTTTCTTTCTTTCTTTCTTTCTTAATCAGGCAAGTTGTTTTTCTTTGCATTCAACAATAATGGACTTCATACTCAAGTAATCCATATTTAAAATGCCAATATAAATAAAGAAGTTTTATTTAAGAAGCACAATAATAATAGTTCACAAAACTATGAGCATACATTTTCAGAAATGCACAATGTAAAAGTTGAGGAATATTTACAAGTTTTTTTTTTTTTACAACACAGCCAAAAAGTTTCATAACCGCATATACAGTGAATGATTGCATTTCACATCGTCCACATTAATTTTAAAAATATAACTTCTCTTTCAGTAATATGCTATGTCCACCATGATCTCAATAACCATTGTATAAAATACAACAAAAGGTCCAAATTCATCAAAGCCTTATATTTCACATGATTAAATTCAAATTCACTGCTTTCAAACTTTTCAAGTGTAGTTCACTATATTACAAGTGTGACTGGTGATGTTATATCATACAGTGTGTCAGAGTTGACTTTGAGTGGGGATGTAATTCAGTAGTATACCATATAAAGGAGAAATTGCGATGAGTTTGGTACCTTGAACCAAAAGCACTCACGTTATTGCAGTGTGCAGGGCTAAAAGATCAGGGCATTACACCTTTCCAAAACAACTGTGATAGAAAATTCAAGTACAGCAGGATCCATAATAATAATTTAAAACATCCCTTCAGTGAATAGGGCTGCGTAATACTGGACTGGAGGGTATACTGTAAAACCAATAGGCAAGGAAGGAACAAGGATGTCGCTGAGAAATGCTAAATAGTAAACAGTGACTTTCAGAGGAACGTAATTGCAAAATTATGCTTTTGTGCTCTGGACAAAGTGATCTGTGTGGTGCTGTTGAGTAAGATAAGGCTTGAGTTTAGCCAAGGGTCCCTGGACATCACGAACACACACAGCCCTTGAGTATAGAACAGCGGTCAAAAGCTATAAAAACAGGACAGACCCACGTTCCTAGCATTTTTACAAAAATAATTATTTTGGCAACGAGGTTTGGAAAGGAAGTGTAGCTGCCTAC